GGAGAAGGAGGTGGGGGAGGGGATAGGAGGGGGGAATTGAAAGGAAGTGGGTTTTGGGTTAGAGGGGGGGAGGTATAGGATGGAGAGGGAGAGGAGGAGAAGGAGAGAGAGAAGTGAGGGAGGAGTAGGATAAGGAGAGGATGAAGTAATGTGGGAAGGGAAAGTGAGGGTGAGAGAGAGAGGAGTGGGGGGGAGGGGGGGGGGTTGGGAGAGGGGGAGGGGGGATGGAAGAGGAGAAAGGTGGAGAGGAGGAGGGGGCTCCCAATCTCTTTTGTGTGCGGGTGGGGATCCTGCCTCTAGTCTCGTGCGCCTTTGGCTGCAGCGTCTCCGTCACGTCGTGCAGCAGCGCGGCGACGACCTAAAAAGGAAACACCGCCTCACAGAGAAGTACCCGCCACGCCGTGCAGCAGCGCGCCGACGACCAGGTCCTCCCCCTCCCCCGCCCGCATCGCGCGGCTCGCCGTCTGCACTCCGTGCGTGTACAAGTCGACGGGCTGGCCGAGGTGGGCCCCTGTTCACACCCCGCCGCTGTGAAGAGGCGCCCGCCGCCGCGGGCCGGCGCGCTGGGCGTAGAGCTTCCCTTCTGGCTGTCGAGCAGGGCGAGCAAGCGCTCGGGCATCCGCTCCACAACCTCCCGCTGGTACTCGCGCGCCATCAGCTCGAAATCGGCGGCCGCGGCGCCGCGGATGCTCGTCCAGCCCGGCCTCTTGCGGCGCAGCCTGACTTGTTAATTAGTTGAGGATTAGCTATCAATAATTACGCTCAGCCCGGCCCCTTGCGGCGCAGCCTCTCGTAGTTGAGCTTGACGCCTAACGATAGAAATCTCCGTGCCTACGCCCTTCAAACAAAAGAAGCCCTTCCGCTTCGAGCTCGACGCCGTCGCGGTTCAGGTAGCAGCCTTGCACCAGCCGCTGGCCGTCGGTCGGCGCGATGGCGGAGCGGGCGTGCAGCAGCCGTTGGTTGTCGAACACGACGAGATCTCCGGGCCGGAACTGCAGCGAGACCTGCTCTCAGCTGCGGGCGCGTGAAGAGGCGCTGTTCACACACGCGAGCGCCTCACGGCCGGAGCTGCAGCGAGACCGTGTGTTGCGGGTCGTGGATCATCCGCGAGAAGCGGCGCCGCGCCGCGTAGAAGCGAGAGAGCGTCTCGTGTGGCAGAGCGCCGGGCGCGAACCCGCCCGACTTTGCCGAGAAGCGGATGGCGCGCACGCAGCGTGCGCCGAGGCAGGGCGGCGCCCCTGGGACGAGGTGCTCCGGGTGGAGCTGCAGGTGGGGCACGTGGTACCAGAGGGCGGAGGAGTTGTCGCCGCCGTTGTTCTCGAAGCGGACGGGGACGGTGGCGAGGAGGGTGAAGGCGTCGGGGTCGTCGCGCGCGAGCTGCTCGACGACGTGGAAGCCTGCGTGTGCCATACCTCCAGGGTTATCGAATCCAGCGTGGGTTCGGTCCCGTGGGTGGTGCGGTAGCAACTGGACGGCGTGGAAACCTGCGAGCTGAGTACGCCAACCTCGGGGCGGGAGGGCGGTACTGCGCAGAGTCTTCAGAGCGCCGTTTGACTTCGAGCGACAAGAGTACAGCTGAACACGATCGAATGCAGCTGAACCCGTGACCTCTCGGCTGGAATACTGGGGTATGTCTTCCGCTTCTAGGCCCGAGATATGGGGAGATATGGGGAGATATGGGATACAGTGGTACGCCTTCCGCTTCTAGGCGAGGAAGCCGTCGACGAAGTGGTTCATCACGGTGCAGGAGTCGCAGGGAGCGCCTTCGCCTAGGTATTCATTAAACAGGACTTGAATGAAGTGAGCAGAGGTGCAGCAGTCGCAGCCCTCACCCTCGGGGCAGGAGCACTGCTCGATGGCGTGCAGCAGCTGGAAGTCTGGCGTCGGGTCGCGGTACGGGTTGTCGGTGTGCATGCCGATCGGGAAGGGCGTGTACGCGAGGTCCTTCTTGACCGCGCCGCCCGGCTGCTGCGAGTCTGGCACAGCGCGCACGTTGAACTGCGTCCCCCACTCGGTCGGGCGGAGGGTGGAGAGCAGGTTGGCCATCTTTGCGCACTCGCCAAACTCTGTCGGCACGCCACGCACGAGCGAGACGCCCACGCTGAGCAGGTTGGCCAGCATCCTATTGCCATATTGAGAAAGCAGCCGTTGACTCTCAATTGATTATTGCCCACGCTGAGCAGGCTGGTCGAGCGTCCTGCCCCGCGTGGCATCGTCGGAGACGAGGTCGTCGAACAGCTCCACCGGCGGCGCGGTGAGGTTCTTGTCCCACAGCAGCACCTCGGGCAGCCCGTACTGCTCCACTTGCAGCATCCGCGGCTCCAGCTCGCTCGAGCCTCGTTGCTCTGCGACGAGGCGGTCCACTGCGTACTTTGAGGTGACGCCGTCGGCAAACGAGACCCGAAGCTCGTCGCCGACCATGGACGCCGTCTCGACAGCCGGCGTGTCAAACTCGTGCGGGTTCTTCTTGGGCTGGAGCGTCTCCTCGCAAACGCACACCGTCCCCGTCTGGCAGCGCTCTCGAAGCCATTCGGCGTGGAAGGCGACACCGTGGGAGGGGAGCGAGACGACCTGTCCGTCGATCACCTGCGGGTCGAGCGCGCCAGCCAGCAGCGCTGCGACGAGCGGAGCGATCGCGAGGGGTGCAACCACCATCATGGACGGTTCCGACTGAATTTCCGACAGAATCGAAGGATTGGGGCTCCTGGGTGTGTAGGGGTTCTCACACTCGTCGATTTTCCTGGAAAGAAAGAGAAAAAGATCAAGTCAACAGGACGCGGATACTGGATCGGTTTGCGGCCTGTGACATGGGGAGATACATCGATAGTGATTTATTTTCAGGGCCCTGCGGGCAGCCAGGCTCTGCGGCCAGGAGAGGAGAGGTCCTCACGTTCTCGGATGAGGACCTTTGTCCGTGTCGTGAGGAACTGAGGACCTCTCTGTTACAGTGAGGACATGGTTTGCACAGTGTGTTGATTCACGGGTCGGCGACAAGCCAACACATCCCTGCAGGAAACCGCTGGAGGGTATCACTCTGGTCATCGGTGTGTCACGGAGGTCCTCATGGAGAGGTCCTCACGGGGTGGAGCTGCGAAGGTCCTCCCATGCAGAGGTCCTCACTGATCAGCACATGAGGGGAGAGACCGGGAGAGGCTTGACGCGAAGGGCTAGGCTGGACGCGGCGAGTAGGGAGGAGCTTGTGTTTGGGGTGGGCCACTATTGCCGGGAGGACGTCATCACGTAGAGCCGCGAAGGTTTTCCATTTTCTCCTTACATGTCTTGATCCGTGCTGTTATATGCCTATATGCAGCTTATCGATCCCGCACACCACCCGGTCGCTCGCAGCCGCACACCCTTCGCCGCGACGCCTCGCAACTCCATAAATGCGCCCATCGCCACCGCGGGCAACTCAGGTCTCGCCGATGTCCCGCCCGGATGAGCAGAACTACACGTCGAGGCTGCCGAGCGAGCTGAGCCTTCACGTGCTGCGGCGCCTCGGCCCGTGGGACCTCGTCGCCGCCTGCCGCGCGTGTGCCGCGTGGGATCACATCGCGAGGAGCGAGGGGATGTGGCGGCACGCGTGCGACTACCGTTGGCCGGAGCGGTCTCGTGCGACGCCGCCGCTCCGTGCGGGCGACGGCGCGCCGCTCGAGATGCCGCCCTGGCACCGCGCCGCGTGGCCGCACCGGCTGGCGGAGCTGAGCGAGCTGCCGCGGCACGTCAAGCTGCTGCGACGACCGCGCGCGGCCGCGCCGCAGGTACGTCACACGGCCACCAAACGCCGTAGAACTAGAAGCAGTGGACCCGAACCCGCTGCATGAGCGTGACCCCACCGCAGCCAGCTGGAGACGAGGCCGAGGCCAGATGCGACTCCGAAGGCGCCGAAGCGGAGATTGCGTCACTGCTCGCAGGCGGCGTGGCGGAGCTTCTACCTCGAGCTCGACCTATACGAGGCGCGAGGGCAGCATGCAATCAGCGCTGGGATTGCAGCCCGTACACCCAGCCAATGGCATGCTTGCGATCACCTCGCCCACCCAGCAGCTGCCTCCTCCTCCTCCTCCTCCCGCCTCGCAGGGGCACGGCGGCAGAGCCTCATCCGTAGCTCCTCCGTCTCATCCCCTCCTCCTCCTCCCGCCTCCTCGCAGGCGATGAACGTCGCGCCGCTGCACCTCTGCACGGCGGAGCTGGCGCCGCTGCACGCCGAGCTGGGCAAGGCTCTGTGCTGGTGAGCTTACCCGAGATAGCTTACCCGAGATTACCCGAGATCGCACGCCGAGCTGGGCAAGGCTCTGTGCTGGTGAGTCAGTTAGAGAGGGGTAGGCGCGGTGTCACCAGCCACTGGAGACCGTCGCTGTGGATGACCTGGCCGTTGGGCGGTGTGGGGTGGGGCGGACCGCGAGACGGAGGGACGGGTCCCACTGGAGCAACACACACACACACACACACACACACACACACACACACACACACACACACACACACACACACACACACACACACACACACACACACACACACGCACACACGCACGCACGCACGGAGCAGGAGGCGTGGAGATGCGCTGCTCACACCTACAGGTGCGGCGAGCTGGTCCGCTTCGCCGCCGCCGAGTCGGGTGCGGTTGCCGCGATATCTGCAGCCGAGAGACAGCCGAGAGACAGCCGAGAGATAGCCGAGAGAGAGCCGAGAGACAGCCGAGAGGCAGCCGAGAGGCAGCCGAGAGGCAGCCGAGCTGCACACGCACAGAGAGCCCATTCTCTCTAGTCGTCGTAATGAATACCAGGCGCCGTCGCTGAGCGGCACTTAGCGCCGTCCGGCCGCCTCCCTCCGCCGCTGCTGCTGCTGCTGCCGCGGCTAGCGCAGCTCTCCATCGAAGGACCCCTCCCCACCTCCCTCCTCGCCCTCCGCCGGCACGACCCGCCCGCACCCGCTCCCGCCTCCGCTTCCGCCTCCTCCTCCGCCACCTCCTCCGCCTCCGCTTCCTCCGCCTCCGCCTCCGCCTCCTCCTCCTCCTCTACCCCTGGTCGGGCGGCGCTGCGCTCTCTCTGGCTCGCAAGTCCGCGCTTCGGCGGAGCACGCGACGCAGAGGCTCCTCTCCCCCCGCACCGCTAGGAGGAGGGGGGGGGGGAGCGATACGAACAGCAGTACTCAGTGGCGGCCATGGCTCCACCAGGCGCTCCTCTCCCTCCTGCGCGGCATGGGGGCGCCGCTCACTGAGCTCGTCATCGCCTACCACACGCCCGACGGCTGACCCTGCGGCTGGTCCACCGACCGTCAGGCGCCGCTCACTGAGCTCGTCATCGCCTCGTCGGACTTGTCCGTCGCCGTGGAGGAGCGAGACACTTCCCAGACACTTCCTTGGACACTTCCCAGACACTACTTTGGACACTTCCCTGACACTACAGTTCCCAGGCACTACCTGGACATTTCTGAGACACTACCTTGGACAGCTCCCGCCACGTCGCAGTGCTCGTAGAGACACCCCGCACCTCCCAGACCACCTCCCAGACCACCTCCCAGACCACCTCCCAGACCACCTCCCAGACCACCTCCCAGACCACCTCCCAGACCACCTCCCAGACCACCTCCCAGACCACCTCCCAGACCACCTCCCAGACCACCTCCTCCGCCGGCGCCCTCCTCGCCCGCGCAGCTCGCCCGCAGTCACCTCTTCACAGCGCCCTGCTGTGAACAGGCCGTCGCCACCAGCCTCCGACCGGGTGGCGCACTTGGCAGCCTCCGCCGCCTCAGCCTCTCGTCGGCGAGATTCGCCGAGATTGCCCGAGATTGCCAGCCTCAGCATCTCGTCGGCGAGATTGCCCGAGATCACCCGAGATCACCCGAGATCACCCGAGATTAGCCGAGATTAGCCTCAGCTCCTCGCCGGAGATCACGCAGAGTGTGAGCCTCGCGCAGCGCGCGGTTTCTTTTTTCACGGCGAGGGCCGCTCTCCGTCCCCGACGCGCGGCAGCGAGGCGCCTGCCCACTCATGCCAGGCGAGGATCGGCGACCAGGGCGCCGCCGTCTTGTGCGGCTCGCTGCGCTCCCTCCCGACCCTCGAGGCGCTCGGCTAGCCATGTCACTGCCTGAGACGACGCCACCAGGTGCTGGCCGAAAATACTCCTTTCTCTATTTTTTTTATTTTTT